TTTCCCTACTACTAGCTGTCTGACCCTGACAATGTCTACATCTAAGTCACAGTTGTCTCTTTTGCAACACTGACTGCCTCCCGGCATTCTTGTGACAATAAAGTAAAAGTGCTTAATTTACTGCTTGGATCGGAGTAAGTGATCAACAAATATAGCTTGTTAGCTCCTTTAAAATGGAAAATCTTTAAAGAAGATGAAAGTGTAAAGGAATTGATAGGAAACCAAGAAACCGAACCGGGCAGATATTAATTAGGCAGTGGTGTGTGCAATGCATGAACTATAAGAATTCGGCAAAGGGACAAGCCAGCCCTGGATAAGCATTTTTTTTCTTTTTCATAGTCTTCACCAGCCATGCCACAACTGACCTACTGTAATTCCATCTCAATACCATGTACAAAGAACAGAATTTGAATTCAGAATCAGCTAGGTGGTTCCTTAGAAACCTGGAGAAATGTGTGTATGTTGGTTCATCCAAGATAAGTCATATCTTCTATTAAGCAGATTATTAACTTTAATCATTTGAAAAGGCATTCTACCATATTAAGAATGCTTAATAAGCCCAACAGGAAAATTACACTGCTTGGGTGGGTTTGGGGAGGTGATGAGAACTGTCTAGCTTCTCAGTTACTTTGCTCTGTAGATATTTGCTCTCCTAACTACACCCTTCCTCATCGTCAACCTTTATAACCGACAACAGCCGGGGAATCAAAACCCTGAAAATACAGGTTACGACTTTGTCATTCATTCATTTCCAAAATGTTGGCTCTTTAACAGTGTATTCAAATAAGAGTTAAAATAATGTCAGTCACAATCATGCAATTTATAATTCCTAAATTGTAATCCTAATTAACGTTCTGATTTTTCATAAATGTGCTACATCCAGAGAAATGTTTCCTTGACAGAATATTAGTGAATTATCCTCTGACTACAAATAGTATTCAATAACTGCTGTATTTCAGTCAAAACAATATTAAATTTTCAGATTTGTAAGCTCCAGACATTTTAAATGTTGTAACTCCTCCGTCTTAGTAGAGGGTACTCATTTATTTGCTAGGAGGCATTTGTCCTTTCCTAACCTTTTTACCTTCAGAAAATAAATGATGCACGTGACTTGAAAACTGAATTAATCTCAACTGAAAAAGGCATAATAAAAATAGCTAATGTCTTTATGATCACCATAGCAAGCCTACAGGGCAGTTACTTTTGCTATTTCTGTTTTTTGTCAGATGCATTCTATCTACTAATCCTCAATAAATATGAAAAACTGATCATTTCACAGCTAAGAATTGACAGACTGGAACACATTTCTCATTTTGAACAGACGAGATAAGCAGGTTGCCACCAGCCAGCGCTGCCACCTCTGCCTTCAGGCGAGCTGTGTCCCCAGTAGACCCTGCTAGTTCGTGCTTAGGTCACTGCTATCACATTTCTATTTGTCTATTCCTGGACCGGAGCTCAGATTCACATTCCAAATAGCCTCCTCTCTCAAGGACCATTCTGCTGCCTACCTTCTGTAGCATCATGTAAAGAAATGGAGCCCTCCAATTAAACCATTCACAATGTAACTGGAGGAAAGGTGGTCAGGACCCTTAATTACATTCTTAATATGCGGTGTCTTTGCAAGAATGTAGAATAACCTAGTAAGGAAAACCATTATGACAGTGGAGTAGGGAGAGTAACGTGAACATGAAAAAAATGGGACACATAAAGGAGGTCAAAGGATGACTTTCCAGATTACACACCTGCTCCACTTACCAATCAATGCAGGCACAGTCCAGGCCTCCCAACTCGGCTCATCCCCAAGTTTGCTCTCTCGGGTGTTCCAAACTGACCACACCTTATTTCCGTCTCCTTAGATGAACAGAGTTGATCTCTAACTCAGTGACTATCTGCAAGACACATTTCCACAGTATTTCTAAGATGAGTGAAAACACATTTTTTCAGAGCAAAGGATAGCGAAGTACTGTCTGTTTAAAATTACATTATAGGGGCTTCCCTGGTGGCGCAGTGGTGGAGAGTCCGCCTGCCGATGCAGGGGACACGGGTTCGTGCCCCGGTCCGGGAAGATCCCACATGCCGCGGAGCGGCTAGGCCCGTGAGCCATGGCCGCTGAGCCTGCGCGTCCGGAGCCTGTGCTCTGCAACAAGAGAGGCCGCAATAGTGAGAGGCCCGCACACCGCGATGAAGAGTGGCCACCGCTTGCCGCAACTAGAGAAAGCCCTTGCACAGAAACGAAGACCCAACGCAGCCAAGAATAAATAAATAAATAAATAATTTAAAAAATAATAAAGGAATTCCCTTAAAAAATTTTTTAATTACATTATAGTCTTTATGTAATTTTACCCTTTCTCAGTTAAAACTCTCACACGCATTCAAAACAAGGTCTATTTATAAACAATGTGGATTGATTAGGAATCTTTTACCCTTTGTTTCAATTTTTAAAATCTGGTTGTAAAACTTAGTGTCTGCGTTAAGAAAATCTAGGATTGTCAAGACTTTCTCGCAGGGAATTGTATTAAGACAGCAGTTCCACCGATTTCCAGGCACTCAGTACAGTTAATAGTATGAGCTCTGGAAGGACCTTATTTTACAGCATGAAGTAAATCTGTTTTATTTCTCTATCACCATGTCATTTTCACCTACATTACAACTTTCTTCCCGATATTTGTAAGAACAGTTCACAGTCTTCTTTTAAGAATGCATTTTAAACCACATCTTGTAGTAGGGATTAAGATAATTAGAATAAATCCTGGTCCACTTAAAAAAAAGGGAAAAGAAAACCTACCAACTGACCCATCCAGGTCATAAACACATACCTTCTTTACATGTTGTACTCTACATTATCTATGATATGTACATGATCCCTCATGGGAGTGTTTTCTTGGGAGCTAGTGGCGGCACAGAATAAAAGCATGACACACCTGCTGTTTACCTTTTGTCTAAGTCAGTGAACGTTGAATTATGTAGAGTAGGGAGTCATTTTGTTCACTAGGGTATGGAAAACAGAATGCATCCTAAGTTAACAGGCTGTTTGGTGATCTCTGTGTGAAGTGAGGTGATGCAGAAAAGCGAGAGGGTAAGAGAAGGAATCAAATTAATTAGGAAAAAACTTGATAATGTGTGACTTCTCCAAATATCATTGAAACCAAAGCAAAAGATAAATCTGAAAGGTTTAATTTACAGCAGTCAACCGATGTCAATACAGGTTCCCGTCTTTGCATCATGAAGAATTTACCACTGTCACAACCTGCTGATTGGACCACTCTCAAGGATGGAACTATGTGAATTTTTTGGAGTCATACACTTGTCCGCCCTAAGAAGCAAAACAGGCGTTATCAGGAAATGCACACTCCCGATACAGAGATTGGTGAAGAGGTGCTCTCATCCCGTACAGTATCATCATTGTTCTTCTTGGTACAACCAGTTCAAAAGGTGTTCTTTCTTCACAGGTTACCAGCCGCTCTTGTCTGGTCAACAGGGGTTCCAAGGCCTCATGGGGGTACAGCAGCCGCCTCAGAGTCAGGGCATGATGAGCAGCCACCAGGGAACTCCAGTGCAAAGCGTGATGCTCTCCTACCCAACCGTGTCTAATTATCAGGTGCATATCAGTAACTTGGAAAATTGTGTTTTATAAAGCAGAACTTGCCTAAGTACAGGCTGTGGGTATGTCCCCACATCGGCTGGTTGGCTGGGTGGTAGGTGCTAGGCCCAGCCAGTGCTGACGGCTGATTTTGAGTCAAGATTATAACAGACAAGCAGAAAATGGGAAATGTATACTTCTGTAACTACTGTGGCTTTTGAATGCCCTGCTAAGTGTGATTCCATATAGACTTTCTATTCATGGAAGAAAATTCTTTAAAGTTCTATTCATGAAGACCTTCGGGCATTCTGTTGAAATTGTACTTACTGGGAGAAAGTCCTCACAGCAAATTTTTATTTGTTTTTGGTCACACCCAAAGAAACTTCATTTCACCACAAATTTATCTTATAAGGGATTTTAAAATGGCATCTCAAGATTCATTTAAAGGGCATTTATTGGACCTGACAGCTGCATTTTCCAGACTAAACCCACACTGGGTATTTAAAAAGTGTCATGCCCCCTTCTGTAATGTATATCCTGAAATACCCTGGCAGGGGGCAGGGGGTAGTGAAGGGTTGGTGAAACACTTTAATCATTAAATTTAGATGCATCAGGTACTTCTGGCCCTGGAGAACTTATCCTCAGTCCTCCTGCCCTGACAATCCTTGTTCACACTGCATCAGTTTCTACCTCCAACTGGATAGGAGATGTTCTCTAAAGCTGCAGGTTGAGAGTGAGCTGGTGTTCCTGGGACAGAATCCCCTTTTACTATCGATGGCTCCAGACCACTTTGCGTAAAACCAGAATGGGAGTGTGGCTTTTCAAAACTGAGAGAAATCCGGAGTGGGAGGTCCAGATGGCAGTCCCTGGAGGGCCAGGAGAGAGGAAGGAAGGAGGCTCAGAACTAACATCTTCTGAACATGTACTTCTAGCCAGATGTGTCCCAAGAGCTGTACACCCCTGCAGTCCTTTCAGGGGCACTTTGAAGGAGGTTACATTATGTAGATGGACTCAGAGAATCAGAGAGGTTAAGTGACTTGCCCAATGTGAAACAGCTGATAAAAGGGAGAGCTGGGATTCCAACCTAAAAGCATGACTGTTTTTGATGACACCACTGTAGCTCATGGGACACCCCAAAATAACCTCTTCATACAGGCTTCTGTTTTGTGTCTTCCTACAGGTGCCAATGACCCAGGGTTCTCAAGGACTGCCCCAGCAGTCATACCAACAGCCAATCATGCTACCTAACCAGGCAGGCCAAGGGTCCCTCCCAGCCACTGGAATGCCTGTGTACTGTAACGTCACACCGCCGAACCCTCAGAACAACCTTAGGCTGATGGGCCCTCACTGTCCCTCCAGCACTGTCCCCGTGATGTCAGCCAGCTGCAGGACCAACTGTGCCAGTATGAGCAATGCTGGGTGGCAGGTCAAGTTCTGAGCACTCTGGCCATGGTACATGTCTTCAGATACTACTCATGGCCTTTAAGGGAGGAAGAGCAAGGTGCGAAAACTCACTGAGGACTTAAGTATTCACTCAACACCCAAATGACTGCTGCTGGTATTCTGTAAAAAACAAAACAAAAAAAAACAAAGACTAATCCACACATTAGCTGGTTAATGGTGCATATTTTCGTCATGTCTGCTAGGTATGCCTTTGTAGCTTAGCTAGTGACATGAATTCATCAAGGTAAGATTTTCTCCTACCACTGAATACCACTGTGTAGATGATGATATCCCTAATTTGGATTATTAGTTTTGTACTTTGTGTTGACTTTGTGATGCTAAAAGTATTTAAAAATTATATACTGAAATCACATTGTACCAAAGCTGTAATGGAAAAGAATTGATGAATGGAAGGAATAATTTATATACACTATAGAGTTTTCTTTTTTTAATGGATATATACTGTATTGTAGTGTTTAATCAAAATAAAACTATTTGACCTTATGGAGGAAGGTCATGTTTTTACCACCAGTTTGCTTCACTCTCTGTTCCAATATATGTTGGCTTATGTGTCGCTGTTATCCCTTTTGAGCACTATTTCATGAATAATGCACAGAAAAGATGTCCCAGGTGTTTGTAGATGGACTGGCATCACCTTGGTAGGCAAACACTGAACCAACTGTAGTTTCTTGTCATGAATACTACAGGGGTCCTGAAAATCAGGCGACATCCATCTCATCTGTTCACTGACTTCACATTTTTGAAACGTGTACCTTGCTTTTAGTTTTAGGCCCATTGAATGCATGTAGCTATACTTCACCAACTAGGAAAACCTGAGTATCCTTGGTAACAACAGCTCTACACCAAACTCTATACCAAACCCTGATCCACCTCCATTCAAATTCCATCACCTACCTGGAAAACAAGATATCTTTGCTTAGAGGGAGATTAAAAGAGGCACAGTCTAATTTATACTGGGTCACACAATGTAACGTACCACTAATACTGACAATAGGTCAGTATCTCAAAGGTGCTGTTTGTCCTAATAATTTAAAAGAAGGCAAAATATTGCAATTTGTTTACAGATACTCAGAACATTCACAAAAACAGAAAGAAAATGAGAAGAAGGCTGTTCCTGTCTAATCCCAAAATGTTTAACTCCCTATAGATTCTGCAGGTAAGACTGATTTATGACAACCTTTGAAAAATATCAGAACTCTGTATACCATCTTTGGCCCTTCCAGGAGATTTTTTTTCTCTGTACGCAGGCCTCTCACTGTTGTGGCCTCTCCCGTTACGGGGCACAGGCTCCGGACGCGCAGACTCAGCAGCCATGGCTCACGGGCCCAGCCGCTCCGCGGCATGTGGGATCCTCCCGGACCGGGGCACGAACCCGCGTCCCCTGCATCGGCAGGCAGACTCTCCACCACTGCGCCACCAGGGAAGCCCTCTTTCAGGAGATATTTAATGAGGGACTAAAACCCCACAGCTTTCACTTTGCTATGCCAGTACAATGACTAACAGTTTTGTATTTTATACTCTTTACCTAAAAACCATTATTACCAATGAGAAGGGTTTGGAAAGTATATCTGGATAATTACCATTGTTTTTCATATTATCACATTCTCTATGTTAGATTTTTCCATATTCATGTTGTTTAGCTGGAGATAGAGTTAGGCAGCTAGTTAAAAACTCAACCTACCAAATTACCATTCCTTAATTTTACACTATTGTTGTATTTTTCCTTTAAAGGGGATTTTTTACACATACTATCATTAGTTTTATTCCTTGTGAAAAGTCTGTCCCATTTCCCCAAATCTCAGTCTACTGATTTCTTCATAATAAGTAAACCCTATGGAAAACGTCATAAAAAGAGGATGTTGCATTTTTTTAAATTGAGCCATTAAACCAATAGGCTGAATAGCTTTTAAACCAAGAGCTGCTCTGAGAAGAAGCTATGTTTGCCTAATTAATATCTTCCCCTAATAGAAGGAGGGGGGGTCACCAATATAGATTCATTTTTAAATATATTCACCATGTAGCCCTCTGATCTTGGCAGTGATCCCAAACTCAAGGATCCAAATATGAGTCTGAATGTTTATTTTCTTTTCATACAATTCTGAGAAATTTTGAGCATTTCTTTAATGATTCTTAGAATTATTGAGCCTTCTTTCCCATGGATTTGAAACATACATCATGCTAATAAGAATAAAGACAGACCTTCTTTCTTGTTGGCCATTCTTCTCCAAATGTGTTACACTCTTT